GCCTGGGGCCTTTGGGGCAGGCCGAAGCTCTATCCACTGAGCCAAACCAGCTAGGGCCCTCCACATTTTCTGATTTGAGGTTCCGGAGAAATCTTTTTCTCAGCTAACCTCCAGCTATTTCGTTTTCCTGTGGCAGGTGCTCTGAGTTCCCCCTCCTGTGACCCAGGTCACCCCTACTCACCCGATGTACTGCCTTTGCTCCGACGCCGGAATCGGAGGAAGAGGAAGAGAAGGAGGGAGAGCAGCAGGACAAGGGCCACCGAGACCCCAATCAGGACGATCAGGTTCCATTTGAGACCTTGAACACAAGTGATGTCATGAATGAGCCAATGGTGTAATAAATGAGCACCTACTGTGTGTGAGGCACATGCTGGGGTCTGTCATTCATCTCTTCTAACTTCACATGCAACAGGGATTGCTGACCCCACTACCCATTTCACTGAGGCTCAGAGAGGTTAATCAGAAGCCCCAGGTCACCCAGCCTGGGGGGCAGGGCTGGGACCGGAACCTGGGACAGGGTCCCTGTGTGTTATTATTATTTTAATCCTCACCCAAAGATATTTTTCCATTGATCTTTAGAGAGAGAGTGGAAGTGAGGGAGGAGGGGGGAGAGAGAGAGAGACAGAGAAAGAGAGAGAGAGAGAGAAATATTGATGTGAGAGAGACAAATTGACTAGTTGCCTCCCACATGTGCCCCAACTAAGGTGGGAGATCGAATCTGCAAGGTAAGTGCCCTTGACCGGGAACTGAACCTGCGACCCTTTAATCCAAGGGCTGATGCTCTAACACAGCGGTTCTCAACCTGTGGGTCGCGACCCCTTGGGGGTCGAACGACCCTTTCACAGGGGTCGCCTAAGACCATCGGAAAACACATATATAATTACATATTGTTTTTGTGATTGATCACTATGCTTTAATTATGTTCAATTTGTAACAATGAAAATACATCCTGCATATCAGATATTTACATGACGATTCATAACAGTAGCAAAATTACAGTTATGAAGTAGCAACAAAAATAATTTGATGGTCGGGGGTCACCACAACATGAGGAACTGTATTAAAGGGTCGCAGCATTAGGAAGGTTGAGAACCACTGGTCTAACAGATGGAGCAAAACTGGTCAGGGCATTATTACTATTATTGTTGTTGTTATTATTATTATTATCATTATTAATGCTGTCCCTGTACCTGCAGGTAGAGCCACACCTCTCTATCTCAGCCCAGATCCCTGTCCCACCCTGCAGCCTGACCCCCCACACAGTGGGGCCTGTGCACGTGGGGTGCCTTTGGGAAGGGCAGAAGGGAGGCCTGTGTCCTTCCTGAGCGCTAACCGGGGCCAGGCTGCATGCTGAGGGCCTTCCCTTTGAGGGAGGGGGCGCGGGTGGCCTGACCCAAAGCCCATGGACCAGGACTCGGAGGAACAGACTTGTCTAAGGTCCCACAGGCGGGAAGGAGCAGAGCTGGGATTTGAACCAGGGCTCAGGCTTCTTCTGACTCCACGGCTGCTCCTGGGAAGGCTGAGTGGAGGAGACTCAGACACTGCCTGTGTCCCCAACACACATGCACACACACACACACACACACACACACAGAGGCACATCCACAAAAGTGCTTGTGCACGCACATGCGCACACATGCATGGAGGCGCACATGTAAACACACATGCACAAACGTGCATGCGCACACAATGCGTGCACACACATGTACGCACACACAGACACACACACACACACCCCTCACCCTTTGCAATTGGAGACCTTGGTCCCAGTGAGAAGGAGGAACTTTCCTCAGGCCATTACCTAGGAATTGGCTGAGCCAAGACCAACACTGAGCTCCCACACACCACCTCCCCCGAGACCCTCACTTAGTCCTCTGCAGGCCTGACTTCCTATTGGGGGACCAATCCTCAGAGGCTCCTGGAGATCAGGATGGAAGGTGAGGGGTGGGGGCTGTTCCTCCCATAGGCTGGACCCCAACATCTCCCTCTTCCATGACCACCCCACCTGTTGGCCTCAGAGCCCTGAGGCACCATGATCCCTCCAGCGTCTCCACCCCCCAGTCACCCTGGGAGACAGGCCAAGCCCCAGCAAGGATTCCTGCTCTCTCTGGGGATCCGGCCTCTGCTGGTCACACTCCTGTCTTGGTCTCTCTGGCTGAGGCCACAGGACTAGGGCCTGGAGGGTCTAGATGGGTGCTCCTGGCCTTGTCTCCTTATGGTCAGCCCCACCTTCTCCAGCCTCCCTCTGCTCACGGGAGCACGGCAGGGCCTCAGGGATGAGGACGGGGATGAGGAAGGGATGAGAGCGGCTCTGGCTTTTTCCATCCCTCCAGGAGGTGAGAGTTCCCTCTGGGTGACCCTCTTCCTGGTCCAACTCATGCCCATTGCAGCCCAAGGTCCCCTGGGGCAGGGCCCTGAACTGACCTGGGGACAAAGGCCTGGGGCTTGAGCTCCTCACCTGAGACCATCAGCTCCAGGGTGTCACTGGGGTGACAGCAGGTAGCGGGAGGTGCTGCGTGAGCCATAGCACCTGTAGGTCCCCTGGCGGCCTGAGGTCACAGGACTGAGGGTGAAGGTGGCCTGAGAGGGTGCAGACGTGTTCTGCAGACGAAGGTGCTGGGGAGGGTCCAGAGACCCCGCCCTGTGCAGGTGGAAGGTGTCAAACCAGATCTCAGACCCACACTGCAGGGTCACGGTCGCTCCCCTGGCCACTGAGGGTCCCGGCTGGGCTGAGAGGGAGGGTTTCCTGTACATTCCTGGGGAGAGGAAGGTTGTGATGTGTAGAGAGTCACCCCTCCCCTCATGCCCTTGACCCTGAGCTGAGGGACCTTGTCCTTCTCCAGAGACCCTGTCTGTGACCCCCTCCCAGCTCCTCTCAGTCCCCCTGGGGGTGTCTTTTATCTCCATGGCCCTCACCCCCTTTCTCACTCCCTCCCCTAGGCCTCTGCCCAGCTCAGCCTCTGCTCCAGGCCCCTCTCCTGGACCCCATCACCCCCAGGTGACCCTGGGCCAGAGCCCTGAGCGGACCCTCAGGACAGGGGCAGGGCTGGCTTCTCACCTGCCACCAGGATGTCCAGGGGGGCGCTGGGGGCCGACCATGCAGAGGAGAGGTTGTGTCCACTGTAGCATCTGTACCGGCCCCCGTGGGTGCGGTTCACATGGCCCAGGGGGAAGTCGGGGCTGTGCTGCCCCTCAAGGCGCTGAGGGGGTGTGAGCCCCTCGTCCTTGGTCAGAGCGAATCTGTCAAAGCCGGCCTCCGCGTGGCACTGGAGGGTCAGGCTGTGTCCAGGCAGCACCAGCGAGCCTGGCTGGGCCGAGAGGGCGGGCTCCCTGTGCACACCTGGGAGGAGGGGACAGTGGCACCCAGGGGACACCCCACATCGCCCACTGGGCTGCAGTGAGAGGTCTCACATGTCCCTCCCTGAGCCTCCCGCCTGTGGGTCTGTCCCCAAGAGGCCAGTGTCACGGACCCCCATGAGCCCAGGGCCCCAATGAACACACAGCACAGTCATTTGGGGCCCAGGAAACAGATGGGGTTGCACAGGGGTCTGTCCCTCACCTGTGACCTCGATGTGCAGAGGGTCACTGGGCTGTGACCACACGTTGGGGTTGGAGCTGGGAGAACCATAGCATCTGTAGGTCCCCCCATGGGAGGGGCTCACGGGGCCCAGAGGGAAGATGGCCTGCGACCAGCCAGCATAGGTCCTGGGTTCTGCTTCCATGTGTCGGGGCGGGTCAGCCCCTCCCTCCGTCAGCAGATGGAAAGTGCCAGATGTCTGTGAGCTGCAGGAGAGGGACACGTTCCCTCCTGAGGCCACCACAGGGCTTGGCTGGGCTGAGAGGGAGGGTGCAGGGTACACTCCTGAGGGAGGAGAAGATCTGTGTTAACGGGACCGTCACCCTCATGCCCCAGGTGTGTTGTGAGGGGTGGGTCCCCCTGAGGCCACACTGTATTCCCTCTGCCTGGGACCCGGAGCCCACAGTGGGGAGGGGCCCGGTGTCTCCCTTACCTGTCACCACCAGGAGCAGGGGGTCACTCCGCTCCGAGAGTATGTTCCCAGGGGTGTAATACGCACACAGGTACAGCCCTGCGTGGGATGGGGTCGTGGCTTCAGTGAGGAAACCGGCCCTATTGCTGGAGTCCTGTGGGACCCTCCTTTCCAAGGGGCTAGAGCCCCTCTCTTTATGCAGAACGTAGGCTTCAGCCTGCAGAGACCCCTGACACCAGATGGTCACAGGGCTCCCCCGGGTGACGATGGGGCCTGGGTCAGCCCAGATGGAGGGTTTGGGGACGACTCCTGGAAAGAAATCAGACCTGAAATGTCAGGGGCATCCTTCTCCCCTTGTGACGTCATGAATGAGCCAAAGATGCCATGTAATGAGCACCTACTGTATGCGAGGCACATGCTGGGGTCTGTCACTCATCTCCTCTAACCCTGACAACAGTCATGCACCAGGGATTGCTGACCCCACCACCCACTTCACTGAGGCTCAGAGAGGTTAATCATGTGCCCCAGGTCACCCAGCCTGGATGGGGCAGGGCTGAGACTGGAACCCAGGACTGTGGGTTCTCTGTGCTGCCCTCACGCTGCCTCCTCCCCACCCCGACCCCCTCTTTGGACACCAACTTCGTGCTCTGGGCTCCTCCTCTGTAGGGGCCTGTCCACGTCTCATCTGGAGCTGAGGGTCCTTCCTCATTACCCGCCCCCAGCACAGCAGGGACAGGGAGGGGCAGGTGTGGGCTGGACTCTGAGTCTCTAGGATCTGTCTCCACCCTGCAGGCCCTGATGCTCCCTTGGGAGGGTCAGGCTGGGCTGGGGGCTCTGCCTTCCTGAGCTCTGCGAGGCCCTTATGTCACCTCATCTCCCAGCAGCCTGTGAGCAGGATGGGACCAGGGATGAGCAGACAGGATCCCGACACTCAGAGGAGAGAAGGGGCCGCCCAGCCCCACAGCAGGAGCAGCAGAGCCGGGAGCTGAACCAGGACAGATCCACCCTGTTCCCTCCTCTGAGCTGAGCCTGAGCTGGGTGCCCGGACCCTTGTCCTGCCTGTCCCTCCCGGTACAGAGTCACCATCACTGCGACAGAGGGGATAGGCCCCTGGGGGGCTGCCCTGTGAGGCCCCCTCTCCCAGGAGGTCAGGGCCAGAACTGACAGGAAATGTAAGGTCTGGGCCATAATTCACTTTTTTAACACATGCAGACACGGAAGCCCAGGCAGGGGAAGGGCGTGTCCAAGTGACAGACTTCAGAGGGGCCAGAACTCGCACGTGGCTCAGCCCCTGTCCCCATGGAGGCACCCACCACCTCCCACAGATACCCCACTTCCCCTCCGTGAGCCCGACTCTGTGGGTGGGGGAGCCCGATCCTCAGAGCCCTGGGGCCTGTGGTTCCCTGAAATCTGTCCCCAACTCCTCGCAGCCTTAGGACACAGCCTGCCCTTAGGTGTCTGGGGGGGCATTAGGTCCTCAGAGACTCAGAACTGCCCAGGGGTGCTGTCTCCCTCTGAGCAAAGGGGACCACGTGGGAGGAGGGGCTGGGTCCCAGTGGTCCTGGGAAGGACAGGAAGAAGGTGAGAGTCTGGAGTCCCCCTCACAGAGCCCTCACTAAGTCCCTCTCACTGCCCACCTGGCACCTTCTGGACCAGGTGAGGGGGAGGGGTGGAGAGGGGACAGGGGTGTCTGAGGGTCAGATCCCCTCTGGGCACCCTCGCCGGTTTGGCTCAGTGGATAGAGCGTCGGCCTGCAGACTGAAGGGTCCCAGGTTCGATTCCGGTCAAGGGCATGTACCTTGGTTGCGGGCA